TGGGGGGGAGTTTATTTCTAGGATTTCTGCTATAAAGGTATGGAATCCAACAAGTGATATACGCAAATAATCTAGAAGTATAATAAACCAATTCCTGGAAGGGTTGACCGAATTTCTCTTTCAGTTTTTCATGACTAATTATGTTCATCTTTACATATGGAATCATAACTATCGAAACGCTCTAGACAAGCTGGACAGAGTGGTAAATTTAAGCCTGGAGTCTCCGTAAGAGAGGATGCTTGTGTTGTACCTGTGAGAGTTACTCAACATTATTTTAAAAATTTGGATCACAATCTAAGAACTAGCTTTCTCTCAAATTCAAGCCATAAAAAATGGCATTCGTCTGCTTCGTTTGAAGCTGAGGAAAGTTGTGAGATCCCTTTGCTTAAAACAGTAAGTCTTGACTTAGCAGATTTGAATACCACTGAATAATCTCATTATGTTGGCATCCTTCACAGTGCTTGATATGGAATAGTGAAGTTAAAAAAGTCACTACTGCAACAACCAGAAGCAATTTCAAGCATCCACCTATAACCAACATAATCGCCACCGTTTGTATTCCTGTCAATGTAAAAAACTCCCAAGTGCTAACGAGTCTATATAGGCCATATACGATTGCGCATACAAAGAAGAAGTGAAATACAATGCAGTCTTATTCACAGCTCTTTTCTTCTGCTTTCTCAGTTCTCTGTTTCTGCTTTTTGTTATTCTTACTAGTGGCATTTACATACACAGCAAACAATTCTTATGTATTTACATATGTCACACCTAAACTTTCATATTTACACATGTATCTTTTAAATATTTAATATCACACCAAAAATAGCACTATTATCACTTTTAAAATGTGAAATACACCTTCTCATGCATAGTTTTAAAGCACCAATGTGCTATGAATGTAAATATGGAAGTTTTGGTGTGAAATATGTAAATACCTAAGAATTTTGAGCAACGTATGTAAATTTCCCTTCTAAAAAACTATCAGTATTGCAGCAATTCAGCTGCTGAACTTCTTTAATTATAATGTCTATGCAGGTAGATTCAGCACTGGATATTCAAAAAAGCACGAAGACAAGGCATGGTCGAAGGTATCGAAGGAGAGGGAAAGGCTTTCACTATGAACATCACATGACATACTCTTCACTCCAACCTCAATCAGATTTTGGTTTGACCCATCCGTCTGCGATACAAAAACGAGAAAATGGAAAGGATTCAGTGAAAACAAGTGACTTTCCCTTGCCTGCAGCTAAAAACTTGGCGCCATCAGCTGAAAAAGAAAATTATTGTTTGGCAAACACTGCATTTCATGGCTCCAGGAATGTTTTTGTTCCATCTGAGGTCCATATTTACAATAAAAAATGTTCTGAAATTTCAACACATGTAAAGGAAATCAACATGGCAAGAGTGAATAAGATAAAATGCTTGACTAGCGAATTTCATGAAAATGACAATACAGACGCTGCAGTTTTACCTGACAATAGAAGTTGTTTAGGTAACAAAATGGATAGCACACTTGTCGCAGTTGAGAGAGCATTGAGAAGCCCTTGTCGAAAGAAGTTGCTCGTCCTCGATCTCAATGGTATTCTCTGTGATGTGGTTTTTGGTTCTCATGGCTCTCGTTTGCCATATAAGAAGGTTAGCTTGCGATCAGGTGAACAATTCCCATCATAAATGAATTCCTAAAGTTTCATGTTAGAAATAATTTTGCAAAAAAAAAAAAACAAAAAAAACTGCTAATGCATTATTGTATTTTGTATTGTATTTTTAGTCTTCAAAAGGCCTTTTTTGGATGAATTTCTTGCCTTCTGCTTTGAAAGGTTTGCTGTCGGCGTATGGTCTTCGAGGAACAAGTATGTCAATATTTGTTTTATGTATTATTTTATTGGGAAATTTACGTACTTACGACACAATTCTTGTGTATCTACATATCTAATACCCAAAGTTTGATTTTTACACTCATAACTGTTGACGTTAAAAAAAACTACTAAAAATTATTAATATTATTAATTTAGTTAAATTTCACTTAATTAATATTAGCTTAAATTTAAAAAACTTTAGCATGAATTTTTTGTAATTGCTCCCGCTTCTGCACTCTATTGCTTCTTCCTCTTTATTCATTGGCTCGTCATTTCCATAATCAAAGGGGGAAGTTGTGCCTCTCGGCAGAGAAGAACAGAGGAACTCTCATTCTCTGTTACTCATTCTTCTCCAACTAGAAGCCTTCTCAAGCCTCCCTTCCCCTCTTGATCGTGTTCTTCGTGGTACAGTAAACTAGATTTAAGAAGGGAAGTAGCAACGGGATTGCTCGGGATATGCCTTTCCTTGCTTGCTTGGTTCACTCGATACTGCGCAACTAGGGCTGGCTGGGAAGGTACGAAGGAATTGCGACACGTTCAAAGACCTTTTGAATTCCCAACTTTCACTTCCTTCTGCTTCGCCTTTTCTCCCATCAAGAGTCGACGCAAAATTCCTCTCACTCATTGTCCAATGACGGAAGTTCGTACCATGGTCAATCCTTCCACTCTACTTTGCAGGTCCCGCAAGCCTCCATTGTTCCTTCGCTTTCTTCCCTCACACGTGAGCCAACCACACTATTGTTCCAACTTCTTATTTCAAGCCACATTTCTAGCCGCTCCTTGCATAGTGTCGATCCGCCTCCTCCGTTCACGAAATCAAAGACAGAGCTAGTCGTCCTTCCCTACGATGCCTTTTCAAGCCGCGATTCCTCCCTCTAATACTGTCCTAGCCTTTGCTCCAACTCGCCCAATTTCTTCTGTTCTTCCCTGTAGCCAAGCTCGAATAGAGCCCAATTTGCGTTGAGTTGATTAATTCATCAGAACCTATCTGAATCCACTTATTGTTGTTCATTTTTTTTAGTGTTTGTTGTGCATTGTATTAAAAAAAAGAAGAGAAAATTGTGTTGTACTTTTATTTTGTGTTGTCGTCATCGTCGTCGAAAATCATGGCCTTCACTCAGAGAGATATAAGTGAAATTTTCAAAAATTACCAAAATTTTCGAAAATCATGGTCGTCGAAAATTGCGATAAAAAATCATGGTCGTCATTCAGAGGGGTAATTGTGAAATTTTCGAAAGACTACATTCAAGGAGAGCACAATACAAGTCAGGTGAGGAAATCACGAACTCTTCTGGAAAATTATCTTTAAAAATTGGGGATTTAAAGTACTCGTCTGTACAAAAAACAAATACCTGCCTGTAGGAATTAAGTACCGTTCGGGAAAAACAAAGTACCACTCGAGGAACGTTGACTTTGATCTAACCTTTTTTGCAGGTATTTTGAATGTGTCATGTCTTTTCAGATCACAGGTTAAAATGTTTTTTTTGCTCCCAGTCGTAGTGCCTTACGACACTGACCAGCGAGTCTTTTGAGATAGCTGGGAAGACTGACATTCTCCAGTGCTCTTTAACTGGGAGGGACTCTGGGAGGTTGCTGAAATTTTTGGTGATTTGGACTTGTAATTAATTTAAAATCTTAAAATATTTGAACTTTAAAGACAGCTTAAAATGTGAATCATTTGAAATTTTAAAATAATTTGAAAATTCTAGCTTTTAAAATGCAGACTCTTAGGATTTTAAAATATTTAAACTTTTGGGCTTTCAAGTTTTAGGCTTTTTAGAGTTAATGTATTTTAAAGTTTGGGCCCTTGAATTTAGGCTTATAGTGCTAAAAAATAATTCAAACTTAAAATTTTCAAAACTTTAATATTCATTACCAGCCCGGATGTGAAAAGTGGAGGGTTGCGTTAGGTAATGGACAACTAGCGTAAAATTTGTCGAAAAAAATGGCATGAATCATTTTAATCATTGTGTAAAATTTAGGGCGTCCCCTAAAAAAGACTCGTTGTATGACCTGAATACAGTATAAATGTGTAACTGTCGTTACATCGGCGCCTAGGTATAGTGTCAAATATAGCAAGGGTTCTCACACTACGAACGAATGCGGGTAAAAAAGTTGGTCTATGAAACTAATGAAACTAATAGTATGATAGGATCTTGGAATATTGGTACTCTCAATGGTAAATTAATAGAATTGGTTGATATTATGATTCATAGAAAAATTAATATCTTATGTATTCAAGAAACTAAATGGGTTGGAGAAAAGACTAAGGAGATTGATAATTTAGGTTTTAAACTTTGATATTCTTGTAAGAGTTGCACTATAACTGATGTAGGTGTAATTATTGATAAGTTTGAAATATAATATTGTAAAAATTAATAGAGTTGGTGATAGAGTTATAGTTCTTAAGATTATCATTGATACTAAGATTTTTAATATTATAAGTGTTTATGCTTCTGAAGTAGGTTTAGATATAGGATCTAAAGCTAAATTTTGGAGTGACTTAGAAGACTTAATACAAATGATACCTCTTGAAGAAAGAATTTTTATTAGAGGAAATTTAAATGGACATGTCGGTAGAGTGGTAGCGGTAGAGGTCGGTAGAGTGGTAGAAAACTTCAGATATACTCATGGTGGCTACAATTTTTGAGTAATTAATGAAGGTAGAGCTATTTTAGATTTTGCTGTAGCGTATGATTTTGTTATTACTAATACTTTATTCAAGAAAAGAGATGAGCATCTTATTACTTATAAGAGTGGATCTAATATAACACAAATTGATTATTTTCTTATGAGAAAAAGAGATCGTCGAGATTGTAAAGATTGTAAGGTCATTCCAACTGAGAATTTAAGTACCCAACGTCGTTTATTAGTTCTAGATTTTAAGATAAGAGTTGTAAAATAAAGAATACTAGGACTCATCATCATAGAATTAGATGGAGAAACCTAAAAGACACAAATAAAATTATTTTTATGAGTAAAATTCAAGATTTCAAATTTTGAGATATTCATGAAGAAGCAAATGTTATATGAGACAAATTAACAAACGCTATTAAACAAGTAGCAAAAGATGTGCTTCGAGAGTCAAAAGAAAAAAAAATTATTAATAAAAATAGTTGGTGGTAGAATAATAATGTGCAAGAAAAGATAAAATATAAGAAATTATGTTATAAAAATTGATTTAAATATAAAAGTTTTAAGAACTGAGAAAAATATCAAACGGCCTTCAAAGAGTATAAAAGGACAATCTGTGACGCTAAACATTTTGCTTTTAATGATCTTTATAAGAGATTAGATACTAAGGAGAGTGAAAAATATATGTATAAACTATCCAAACAAAGATAAAATAAAAGTAAAGATTCAACTCAAGTAAAGTGCATTAAAGATGAAAATCAAAAAATATTTTTCTTAGAAAAAGATATTCAACATAAGTGGGTGAGTTATTTTGATAAATTTTTTAATGAAGTTTCTGAAAATACGATCAGACCTTAGTGATCTTAATTTCGTGAATAATAATAAAAAGTTTCATTTTTACCATCGCATTAGATGCCTGAGGAGTGGAGGAAGAGTATTTTGATCCCCATTTTTAAGAATAAAGGGGATGCACAAGAGTGTGCAAATTATAGAGGAATTAAGTTGATATGTCATACTTTAAAATTATGGGAGAGGGTAATTGAACATAGGTTAAGATGCATCACGAAAATTTCTCATAATCAATTTGGATATGGAAGCTATACATTTATTGACAGGTTTGATGGAGAAGTTCAGAGGTAATAAGGAGAATCTGCATTTGATTTTTATTGATTTAAAAAAAGCTTACGATAAGATTCCAAGAGATATCCTTTGGAGAGTTCTTGAGAAGAAAAGTGTTGATATGACTTATATTCAAGTCATTAAAGATATGTATACTAGAGTTGTTACTTGTGTTCAAATTAAAGGAGGATTAACCAAATATTTTTCTTTTTCTCTTGGATTACATCAGGGATCGGCTTTAAGCCCATATTTTTTTGCTTTAGTTATGGATGGTCTTACTGGACATCTACAGGAGGATGTACCTTGGTGTATGTTTTTTGCTGATGATATCCTTCTCGTGAATAAAACGAGAGAAAAGCCCAGAAAAAACTTGAATTATGGAGATCTACATTGGAGTCTAAAGACCTTCATTTAAGTAGAACTAAAATTGAATACATGGAATGTAATTTTAGTAGTAGTAGCACTAATGACAGAAGTGTGACTTTGGGTGATCAAATTATTAAAATGTGTGAACGATTTAGATATCTTGGGTATGTTGTTCAAAGCGGTGGTGATATAGATGGGGATGTAATAGTAGAATTCAAGTTGGTTGGTTGAAGTGGAGGAATGCGTCGGGCTTTTTGTGTGATTGATAAGTACCGCTTAAACTGAAAGGAAAATTTTATAAGACGGTGGTGAGACTTGCAATGCTTTATGGCATTGAATGTTGGCCATTAAAAGAGAAGCATAATAATAAGTGTTGCCGAGATGAGAATGATTAGGTGGATGAGTGGCTTTACACTTGGAGACAAAATGCGAAATGAATATATCTGTGATAGGGTTGGTGTAGCTCCTGTGACGGACAAAATTAGAGAAAGTCGTCTTAGATGGTTTGGTCACATTAAACGTCGACCATCTGATGATTCGATTAGGAGAGTAGATGTTTTAGATTCGACTTGTGTTAAGAAAGGCAGAGGTAGACCTAGGAAGACTTGGGCTTATTGTATAAAAAATGATCTTAATTTACTAGAACTAAATTAAAATATGACACTAAATTGGACGCAATGGAGAAAAATGATTCATGTAGCCGACCCCACGTAGTGGGATTAAGGCTTTTTTGTTGTTGTTTTAAAATTCATCACCAGATTCGCAACACCTACTAGCAAACAGAAAACGGTCCCTTTTTAAATCCTAAAATCATAATAATTTGGAAAATACTTTGAGCTCTAAATGATTTTAAACTCTACATAAAGTCCATGGTTATCTCTCAAGTCAAATGAGACATTGAAATATGAGTCCACTCTTAAGACTTAGATGAGTACTACTTGAGATATTCTTAAGATATGTATGTGTTAATGTGTTTATATAAACTAATCAATTACACATTTTCAAAAGCCTGCATGTGCTCCAAAAATATTGAATGCTCAAATATTAGGTTCGAGAATGCTACGCAGGCTAATCGGGCCGCATTGCCTTTAAGAAAGGGTGGTAATCCCATTTAACTAGTCCGATTCTTCTCCTTGTAAGGACTGGAGTTGACGAGTCAAGTATTAAAATAAATGGTCACATCTTAAAGTGCGAATTTACAAGTGTAAATCATATAGTCTGATTCGTCTTCTTAAAAACAGGAGTTAACAAGACTCATACCCTAAAATTCTACCTAACTAAAGTGAACGCCCCCTTCAATGCTTAACTCCCGATGATGGTCATGTTGATTGAAAATTTCATCCGGAGGGGTTAATTTTAAATCAAGATTTTCAATGTAATCAACCTGAATCTCCAAGTTAAAATAAATCACTAGACTTGAAAATAAAATTTCATCAACGTCGTAACAATTTGTCTAGGGTAACAAACTTCTGATTGACTTCAGCTCACAAAGAATGTATGTCGTATCAAATGCATCTTTATATTCACAATCAAAGCAATTGCGTGCCAGTAAGGATGTAGTCCGAGTCCTCTGTCCGTGTGATTTCACCGCTAAATGCCACTATAAAATAGCGATTACGATCAGGGCCCTTTGACCTAGTGGTTTTCGTCAAATTGCATCATTTTATTACGTTTACGACAGTAGCTCGTATCTCTCCAACAATTTTCTACCTGTTGAGTTGTGAATCATAAGGGTACAATTGATTGACATAAAATCTTATATTAGTTAAGGTTGATTTAAATTTGTCCCCTTAGAAAAATCTTCACCCCAAATCTACAAAAATCTCCTGGACGAAATAACCCATGGTTGCTGAGAAGAATTCTTCCTTCATAGTAGGTCGACTATTTTCTCTAAATAAGTAGATCAGACACAATGCGACCTGGGACAACAGAAACATAAGATCTTGATCGACAATGCGACCCGGGACAACAGAACCATAAGATCTTGATCGAGTTTCGTCTTCATTTTCCCATCATCCACTTTAAGCTTCAAGTGATAAATTTTATAACTTAAAGTTATCTCTCTGTTATTATATGTTAAATTTTCAATTATTAATGATTGACCTTTATCGAAAGTGCTCTCCCGTTATCTGGAGGGGTAATTAACCATAGGGACTTGCACTTTTTGAATCCCAGATCAAAAATTTCTCGCAAAATGAGGGTGTAATCTCCGGCTAATGTCTTGTCTACAATTCAATTTGCCTTCTGAAAATTTGACCCTCCAAAGCTTTCTCAAAATGAAAAAATAAATTAAAATAAATGCAGAGTCGTTGGGGAGAGGTCAGAATGTTTGGAGTTCACAATAATACCTTGGTGTCATAAACCTATGCATGAAAATATGTACTTCATTTTTAAAAAGATACTGATGGTGGCATTTTTTTTTTTTTTTTGTGATGTTAAAGATTTGAGTACTGTGGATGTAAATATGAATGTTTACATGTTTGATATGTAAATACATAAGAGTTGTGTTGTATTTATATTTTCTTCTCTTCCTTATTTGACATCCATCAAGTTTTATATTTTACAGTGCTATAGAAATAATTCTTTCCATACCTTCGTTATACTATTATTATTTTGCTTATTTTACTGTTTCTAATCTTCTTGTAACCAATGTGCCATTTTTTATTTATTTCTTTAGGAATAACATTATTGGAGTCATCAATTATGTAATGCGGGATTCCAAAGACAGGTTACTTTTTTGCTGGGTATGTGAATAATCAAGTCGTTATGATTATAGTATCCGGTGTATTTGTTACTGTCATATTCTGTTGCATGCGTTTTGTTTTACTTTGCTAAACCTCTAAATTTCATTATAGTTGAATTTATTTTTTCATAATCTGTAATATTTAGCTTTAAGGATCATCATGTTTCATTCATTTTTGTTTATGAATTTATGTTTTCACAATTTCTAACATTCTCGTTCAATCTTATTTCTATTGTCCTCAAGTCAAATTTTATTACGCTTTATTTGGTTGCATAAATAAGATTGTTTTGAGCTTTTCTTTTCTAAAATCATACGCAATTGTAATTTTTAATCTTTGAATTTAATACCTTATGGTTGTAAGACAAAGCACCCAACCACTAGGCCAAATAGGCTTTACAATAAGATAGTTTTGAGCTTATAAACAAACAGGCTTACAGAAATAAACATGATTTAATCGACACGCGATAAAAGATAATATAAGAAAATTTGTTTTCCTTAAATGAGTGCTAAACTTGAGTGAAGAAACGCTGTTTATACACAATAGACTTAACCTGTAAACAAATAAGCTTTATTCAGAGATCTACCGATGTATTTTAAGCTTGGGGCATTTACATGCATACCACGCAATTCCAATTTATTTACATTTCTAACAGCTAAACATAAAAAATACCACTATTTTAATTTTTGAAAGTGAAATACACCTTTTCATTCATAGTTAAAGTTGCATATATATAAAAATTGAAGTTTAGGTGTTACATATATAAATGGACAGGATTTAAGTGGTATGTTTGTAAATCTTCCAAAACAAATTACTTTTTTGGCTTCATAAACTTCATACAAGTTAGCATAATCTGATATGTTACTTAAGCTTCATAAGTAATCAGTTTTATTTAATTAGCCAAAACAAATAAGCACAATGAAACCATATTTAACTTGTTTTTAGCTGTACTTAGTTTGTCGTTGTTCGCTTGCATTCGCTATGTGTGAAGTAATACGCCGTGATACTTTATTTTGCCTCAACTTTATAATGGTGTAATTAGTTCCTTTAATTTATTATTATCCATATAGTTTTTTATAGTCATTACTTATCTAAATATTTTATATTCTTTTTTGCATCTATTTTGCAGGATCAATCTAAATGCACATTTACTGGGTTTAATACAATTGAGAATAGGCATAAACCATTGGTGTTAAAGGAGTTGATGAAGTTGTGGGACAAAGAGGAAGCGGACCTTCCATGGGAGAAGGGAGAGTACTCTCCATCAAATACATTGTTGATTGATGATTCACCATACAAGGCCCTCTCCAATCCTGTATGATTTTATGACTTTTAGCCTTTTTCGTCTTCTTCGTCTTTCTTTTCATGGTTTTTACGAGGATTTGTTTGATTTGTTTCGCCATCGACAGCTGCACACCGCTATTTTTCCTTCTCCATATGATTTTCGAGACGAAGGGGATAGCGTTTTAGGTAATTGAGTCGAAATGAATTAGTTTGATTAGCTTTGCTCGAGAATCATATTTTTGGGATTGTATTTGGCTCAGGGCCAGGGGGAGCAATTCGAGTTTATCTGGAGAGTATAGCCATGGCTGATGATGTTCGAGATCACGTGAAGAAACACTCATTCGGCCAACAAGCTATCACACCCGAACATAAAATGTGGAGCTTTTATAAGAATATCATCGATAAGAATGACCCCACGGCTTTAACCAGATGAGGTTAGTGATCACTTATTTTATCGGGATTTATGTGCATTTTTGAGATGAGAGGCGGGTACATACCACATAATTTTTATGTATTTACATATTTAATACATAAACATTCAGATTTATATGCATACCATTCAAATCCTTTAACATCATGTCAAAAATACCACCGTCAATATCTTTTTAAAAGTGAAATGTATCTTTTGATGCATAGATTTATGACACCAATGTGTTATTAGTCTACATATTAAACTTTGGTTGTTAGATATGTGAATACATAAGAATTGGGTGGTAGTGGAAGAATTGGGTGGTATGTATGTAAATTTCCCAACATAATATTATGGCATTCAGCTGCAGGTTTATGAAAGAATTTATTGGTCCAGATTTGGCTCAAAGGTAGGAGTATGGTCTTTTGGCTAAGTGGTCTCAGAAAGGAAACTTTTGCTTTGATTCTTGAAGCAATGAAGAATGTAAGTATCATTTACTGCAATTATCTGTTCAAAACTTGTAGATAAACACATCTTCATTTTGCCAAATTTTGTTGAGGGTTATAATTGTAACAAAATTGAACCTTGGTTGGATTTAGGCATAGAGTGAAATTTGAGCTTGTAGAAAGTTCCACAAAGCAATTATAGGATATTGAACACCTCCTATCATTGTTGTAGATCAAGTTAAAAACTATAGCTCCTGAGTAATTTTTCGCGCTTCCATGTGCCAATGTTTGTTGAGGGTTATAATTGTAACAAAATTGAACCTTGGTTGGATTTAGGCATAAGAGTGAAATTGGAGCTTGTAGAAAGTGCCATAAAGCACTTATAGGATATCGAACACCTCCTATCATTGTTGTCGATCTAAGTTAAAGACTTTAGCTCCCGAGTAATTTTTTGCGGCATAACCACGGCCTTAAAATAAAAGGCCCGAGTTAACAAGAGTCCGATGCAGGACCGCATGAGAGTTTTAAGGAATTGTTTGGTTGGGTATTTTTTAAATATATGCATTTTAATAGTGTTGGGACTAATTGAAGCGCATGTGTTTTAGAAAAATGATTATTATTTGGGTGAATGTAAATTGAATGCATTAAAATGTTCGGACGTGGATGAGGGTTGATGCAAAGCGGCAGCAACGAGCAATGGTACGCGGTAGCCTTGGCGGCTGGTGTGGCTCCGAGATGATGACATGTTGGAATAACCGACAAGTGCATTGCTTGATTTGAAATATAATGATTTGGGCAATTCCCAAATGTACAATAAATTGATATTTCGTAGTATTTCAAATCTCCCAAAATTTTATTTTATTTTGTTTTGGTATCAAGCCAACCAAACTGCACTGAAGTTTTATGTCCAAACAGCACTTAAGCTCTGTGACCCTTTATATAATTGGCCATTTACATATATGCCACTCAACTCCTATGTATTTACACATCTAACATCTAAACATCACTTTTTATATTTATACATCTCAAATCTTTCATATCACATCAAAAATGTCTTTAATAAGTGAAATATATTTTTCCATTCACACTTTTTTTTTTTTCAACTTAATCGTGGACTGGCGAACTTTTTCTCATCCCCTAATATCTTGGCGACATCACTTATTTCTCATGTACTTACATATCTAACTTCTATACTTAATTATTACATACATGCCATCTTACCTATTCATGAAAATGTGTATTTTCACTTTCTAAAAAGTTAAAATGAGTGATATTCTTAATGTGTATGAATGATTTGGTTGGCAATAATGTAAAGAAGTTTAGGTGCTAGATATATAAATACATTAGAATTGGGTGGTATGTATGTAAATTCCCGGTAAATTTATTGCTGAAACAGTTATTTATCACTTATTTCTCATGTACTTACATATCTAACATGCCATCTTACCTATTCATGAAAATGTGTATTTTCACTTTCTAAAAAGTTAAAATGAGTGATATTCTTAATGTGTATGAATGATTTGGTTGGCAATAATGTAAAGAAGTTTAGGTGCTAGATATATAAATACATTTGAATTGGGTGGTATGTATGTAAATTTCCCAACATAATATTATGGCATTCAGCTGCAGGTTTATGAAAGAATTTATTGCATATTTATAATTGCACCACTTTGGTGTCATGTATTTCACTTTTAAAAAGTAAATAATAGTTTTTTTTTTTTTTTTTTTTTTTTT